TCGGAAGCGAACAGGAGAGCCATTGTAGACCTCTTCGGCATAAGCGTTCCCGCAAAGCTTCGAAGTGCGACAAGGTATTTTTCGGCGACCACCCAGGACGACTTGGCCGGCTCTGATGACCATCCCTATCAGGTCCAAACGATGGTTTTCATGGCTCGATATGGATGAATCATTTGATTCAGACATTTGGAAGGTTTTTTTATTTATTTTGACTTGATCATTTTTGAAATTTGTCTTTTTCAAAACTCAAGTTGATGCACAATCACCTCAATCACCTCCAGACTGAGGTGAATGCGCTTTTTGATTGCATTCATCCAAATTCTCAGTCAGAAAGCGCTTTCGACCACATTCGTACATGTACGAATGTGGTCAAATGTGTAGGTACCTACAAATTCGAATCTGTTGCCGAACGTGCCCTGAGTAAATCGCATCATGACCAACGTGATCAGAGTCATGAAAGCATTAGCATAATGCACAAGTTGTATTGAGACCACAATCGCTAGAAGTAAAAGATGATTTAAACAGTTTGATTACTTATAGAAAGGATGACGTCATGGGCACAGTGCGAACAAGGTAAAGAGTGACTTGCCTGCAATGATAAACTCCTACACCCTTTTCAAACACATGACCACAAGGTTTTCCTCGTCTATCTTGACCATATTGCACAGGTTCTTCACCTTGGGCTTTCACCAAGGAGAAAGAAGGGCCAACTGTAGGTAAAGTAGTGATCGGGATAGGATCACCATTAGGTAAATGAGGTAAATGAAGTTCATCAATTTGATCAAAAGCATTTTTAGGAAAGAAATGAGTAGCCCATTTAGGTTCTAAAGCAAAACTATAGAGTTTTTAACATTTGAGTTGAAGTAGTTGGACATGTTGATAAGTTTTTACAATTAGGAGGAAAAGCAGGTGTATCATATGAAGTTGAAAGATAATCGATTTTTGATAAGAAAGTATGTAGAGAGATTGAATATGATATAATCTGATTCAACTTGATTTGCTAATTCTCTATCACTTCTTACACCTTCATCATGATCATGATCAATCTCTTGAGCTTAGTGTTGTTTTGGGTTTTGATTAGTTGTTGATGTAGTTTTAAGTTTTTTAATTGAAGTTTTATGCGTTCGAATCAG